AAAATTAAGAGCTAGATATCCATACAGGAGATACCACATGGTCACAACGAGTGCTGACCCAGAAGCCGAGAATGCTGCAGGTTGCCTGGAGAGCATCAAACCCAGGTGACAAGCATGCAGTGACAACTTGCTCGGTCAGGAAGGACCAGGGCAGCACCTTGTTCTCAGGCGTCTCTGTCCTTCAGAACTTGAGGATTCTTTTTTGGACTAAGTTGCCCAATTCACGATGCTTTGGCTTCAAGAGTCTTAGCAAGTAAACATACTAGGTCAGGAATGTTTTTGAATGACCTGTTTGATAGCTACAGGTCTGTCTGTCCACTCAGCCCTACACCTTAGATCTCAATGTCATCTAAAACATGGTCTCATCAATACCCAGTTGTGGTTGTAAGCGCTGTTTCATTCATGTGGATCTATCACTAGCTTGGAAAGGTCTTTCAAACTTTGAGATATACTTTTGCTTTCTCTAAGCAAATCTTCTCTCATTTTCTCCACTTAGGCCTTCAGTGTTCCTTAGGGTTTTCCAGGCTTGTGTGATTTTTGTACGATGGTCAATTATGGTCCTTCTCAATATCTGGGTGGTTCAAGTCCACCTTTTTGTTATGTGTATTTCCATTGTTTCAATTTCACAATTTCTTTTCTTTTATTCTGACTACAAGCCTGGAAAGTACATTGAAAATTAATTTGAGTTTTAAAACATGTAATAAAAAGTAGAAAGAAACCAGGGTTTTTAATCCATATTTTGAAAATCTGCATTCAAAGAAAGCTAGTTGTACGGGTTTCCTAGGACCAGCCCTCTGACCCATCTCAGCATTTTGATTCCTGGGGAGACTGGTCCACGGCCAGGTCTGGACATTACCCGCTCTTACTAAAACATCTGCCCGGTTTACTTCGAAACAGCTTCCACAGCAATACTGTCTTGCTTCTTCGGACTTTGTAGCACCTAGTGTTATTGGTAGCTACACAGACAAAAAATGACTTAAATAAGTATTCTTTTGTGTTAAAGAATATAGATAGAAGCTGCCTAGGGTAGCCATGCTAGACGTACAGGTTCATAGTCTCTCCAACCTTCCATTTTTCTAGTCACTAGATTTTGAGTGGCTGTCTAGTAGTTTCTTGATATCATTCTTGTATCTCCTTGGCTAGAATAGGTCATATCCTGAAGCCTAGTGGTCTGGAAATACTGTCTATTAGGTAGGCAGTAACTGCCTAGTTTGAAAGTCAGTTCTTTTACTAAGAATAGGAGATTCTGACCAGTGAGATAGTTTATCAAGTAAAGGTGTTTATATGCACGCACGCACGCACGCACACACGTGCGCACATACACACACCCTTTTTATGTGTAGATAGTCATCCTGCATTCTATATTAGATGGAGCTATGAGGAATAATGAGTACCAAGGTGGGGACATGGGAGTGGATGGCCACACCCCACCCACTGTTTAGCAATTCAGAGATGGCATTTTGTATGTGACAGTTCAGAAATCTTCTGTGAGAGGGTATATTTTATCTCTCGTTCTCGATTGCTGGAATGTGAACATGAGAACATGTAGACAACACCGTCTCTCTTTGCATAACTCTATTTTCACTAACAAGATATATCATTACCCTTTCTAAAGTTAAACTTTTGATTGATTAGACATTTTTCCTAGGAGTCACAGAAATTTTAGACAAGTATGGGAGAAAATAGGTTTGAATTATTAGTTTGAAATCTTGTATTTACATCATATTTGCAGCTTTCTTCCTGCAACTCTGTCTCATATGTATGCTCATAGTTAGCATGTTCTGCTCTTTTGGTGGCAGGAGTACCTTGGTCCCTCTGTTAGTGTCCTGCTGTACTGAAAAGTTAGGCTCCCTCAGGGGATTTCCCTACATCCTGGTGACATCTGTGTTCATGTTTGGGACAATTGTTTTGTATACTCACTTCAGTTTTGCTCACTTCAGTGACTCACCTGCTTCTTTTTTTTCTTGCAAAGAGAATATTTAAGATATTAGAAAGCCCCACCTTTCATATACATATACACACACTTGTCAAGAGAGTATAAATAGAGGTAGTGTTAGACCTGTTGACCAGTTTTGGAGAATATATGTATATCATGTACATGAGCTTACTTATTTGAAATATGGTCCCACTAGGGTAGCCTCACACTCACTATGTATCCCAGGCTGGCCCCAAACTTGGAATTCTCCTTGTTAGCTTTCTGACTGCTGGAGTTAAAGGATGTACCACCACACCTGGATACGTGTGAACTTTTAAATATGAAGTCAAACAGGAAAATAACATGAGTGTGTAATGCTTATCTAAGTGTTAGTTTAAAAATGACCTATTCCTCATTTTTAATCTGCAGAAGTTTGGAAAAAAGAAATTACAGTATTAACAGGGATAAAAAGGTATATTGGTGTATTGGATTGTCCCTGCTTATCACTAAAAGAACCCTGTTTTCAGAGATGTTGCAAAATCACAGGGCAACAGGACAGCCAGGAAAAGTTCTCTGAAACACTGGGCTGTCCAATGATAAAGCCCAGCTTGCTAGTCCATCAGGACTTTGGATGGACCTTGGGGATCTAAGGCAGTAATTCATAATGAGTGAGCCGGAGGCCTCATCAGTTAGGGAAACAGCCTGTCTGCTTATAAATGCTGTTGAGAATGAATTTGACCTTGCAGATGCTGGAGGTTTTCATTAGGATTAATCAGCTAATATTTGTGAGTTTTATGAAGACAAAAGGCATTTATAGGTGCTAAGAAGAATTTTTTTTTTCTACTGACATTAATGCCAAAGCAGTTGCTGGATAATGGGAGCTTAACTGTAGACACTCACAGGTCAGCAGCCACTTGCTGTCAGCTGACACTCAAGTCAGCATTTCCTGAAGCTTTCCACTTTTGATTTCCACCTGGGTTGCCAGAACTAGCCAAGAGGTGATCATGCATCAGGCAAAGAGTGAGGAGAGAAAAACCATTTGAATAAGTAAGTAAAGTTAACCTTTTCACAATTAACGGATTATGGTTCCTGAGAGAACCACACAGTGGGTTTAACTGGGTGGGTCCCTGCCCTAGAATCTGCCAGAATTCATGTCTGGCTTCCACCACTTTGGCAAAGTTAGCTGAACTTCCATCTGTTCCCTGGAGTACAAAAGGAGCCTAGTTTTCTACAGAAGTTACTGACTCAAGTCTATATAAATCTAATATGAATAATATGGTATATGATGAGCATTAAGAAAACAAGAGGTGGCCTTTTTGTCTTTCCCTTTAAATAATTAGCATTTAGTCAATAATTCCCTTTAGTAATGAAGTTGGTACCAATAAGGAGATAGATATGACCTTTAGAAGAAGTAGGAAGGAGTCACCCTACTCAGTGTAAATGAAAGAAAACATAATTGTTCTTTAAATGATTTGGAAAATGAGGGTGTTCCATTCTAGAATTTCCATACAGAATTAGGAGTTAGAAATGTGAATGTGCTAGGAAAAATGAAGTGTTCACGTATAACATTATTTAGACACATGTGTGCACGAGTGCATATATACATAAGTCTGTGTGAATATCTAAGACTGAACTGTATTACATCAGAGGGGAAGCAGAGTGTGACAGAGGAATTGAAAAGGGTGGGAGGGAAAAGAAAAGAGATTTCAATATATTTACTGGTTCCTAGTACAGGAGGATTGTGCCAGCCCTGCAAAGTGGGTGCCGTGGATGCCAAGCGCTGTGCTCCGCCGCTCACTGCAAGCCCTACACACGCAGACCCACTTTCTTCATTAGGTGAGCGGTTATCAGGCCTGAGAGTACTTGCAATTTCGGTTTCTGATTGACCTTTATCACACTAAATATCGTTTTATACTCCATAATACGTCTGGAATTTGATTTTTCTATAAATGGAGATTTAAAAGGAATAAAATAAAAGCAAATTTTAATACCAAGAGATCTGTCAGAAGTGTGGTTGGACATGGGGCAAAGCTGCATACCAGAGTTAGGTATACAGTTGTGCATCCTTTAAGGAGAAATGTGGTCCAGCAGTTTTATCTCTGTGTGAGCATTGCGGTGTGCTTTAAAAACCGGGGATGCTGTGATTTCATCTGACAACATATTCTTACAGAATGACTGTCACCTACATGGTATGTTGTTGGCTGTGGTGAACCAAGTAATGGTTCATTCAGAATCACAGATTCTTGACCTAGAACCTGTACTCTACTGTTTATTAACCATGAGAGCAGATATTTACAGTTGTTTACACCAACAGCAAGAGAAACCTGCTGCAGTGAGCCTCTCCCCTTGTTGAACTGAGACACTAAGGCAACCCTACCTTAATGATGCTTTCCAGGATCAGGTTTGGAGACCAATTTAAGAATCCATGTTGGCTATCCAGATAGCCCGTGAATAGCGAGGCAAGCACTTGTCTGACTGTTAGCCTTCGTTTATTATTTTCTTTTGTTTGGGGGAGGAGCTACTTGGCATGTTGGCAGAAGATGGGAGTAGATGCTGCTACAATCTGCCCAGTCTTTGCCTCTGGCTTCAGTGTTCCTTTCAAATATATTATGTGTCCGTCTTGCAGGAAAGAGAATCTGAAGTGCCTAGGTTGGGAGCAGGTCTCTTGCTCTTGGGCACACCTTGCCAGACCAATTCTTCCTCCTCCAACTCCAACTCCCTCCTTCCACAATAGGAAATAGTCTCCTGTTCAGAACCTTTTAGTGACTCCTGCCTAGTAGATCTGTGTGGTGGCAGGCAAAGAAGAAGCAGGAGGAGTCAACCCTCCCCAGCTGGTGCCTCCCCTTTCCTGTCTCCATCAGTTCCACAGCAAATGCAGCCTTGGCTCCAAATGGCAAAGCCCTGGCAGGAATCCAGGGCTGAAATCAATACCCAGAGCTTCTGGGCCTCGCTGTTGCCTCTGGAGAAGACAGGCTGAGGCACAGTGTCAAGGCAAGAAAAGACAACTGCTAAGACCCAGATTCTCTCCCACCCCTGGAGAAGGGATGGAGAGGCAGTCAGTCACCGATGTGGACTCACGGCCAGCATGCGGGCAATTACAAAGGACACAGAATTGAGCAACAGCAGCACGCTGGGTCTGCACCAAGAGATGAGACCAACAGTTTCGTTCCAGTTTGCTGGTGTCCCTGTGTCCAATGCCAGCAGTGCGCCCTGCAGCCTCTGTGCACGAGTATGTGTGTCTGTCCCTAGACAAGGCCTTAGCTAACATCTCCTGCTGTGAAGACCTATCCCTGAGGATGTAGAGACTGAGCAGGCTTGGAGAGACTAAAGGAGGCTGCTGCAGATGGATCTCGAGAGCTCCAACACCTGATGCCCTCAGTTGGTTTCAGGCTGTGGGGAAAGTGCATTCTAGACCTTGGTACTTCAGGCTGCAGACACATTTTAGCTGCAGCAATTTTTCCCCAGTGTTCCCTATTCCAAGGGACTTTTAAGACTTTGGAGGCATGTCCACACATATATGGATCTTGATATATGGGTTCAGTGTTGTCCAGCTTTGACCTCAAAAACAACATTGAACATAGGTCAAGATCCACATGTCCTCAGCTAGGGTAGCCAGAGGTTCACTTATAACTGTTGTTTTTCTCCTCTCTGTTTCTGGAAAGTTCAGATAATGGCATGCTTGAAGAGAAGGATGTCTCAGAGGCAAAAAGTGTGTTCTGCTCTTACAGCAGAACCATGGCCGGTCCCCAGCTTGGCACTGGATGGTTCACAACTGCCAGGGGTTCAAGCTCGGGGCACTTAACATCATGTTCTTGTCTCCCTGGGCACCTGATTTCTTGAGCAGATACCTGTGCATAGATAATATAGAAACGCATGCATGTGCATAATTTAAAATAAAAATAAGTCTTATTTCAAAGGAAAATCAGAGGTTGCTTTCAGTCACTAGATCACACATGCAAGTTTCTTTTTCCAAGTAAACTGAGATGTATTATCCATTAATCATGACTTAGAATTGAGGAAGTAAGGCATTTATATTCATGCTCATATTGAGCTGCACTGATTGTAGAAGATTAATGTCTTAAGCCACCTCATATATTTACCAGTTTAATTTAGTAATTTCTATATAGAAATAACTGAAAACCTGTAACTGAACAATCAAACAAAAACATGCCTATGATGAACTTAGATAGTACAATTGTAAAGAGCATTTAAGGCTCATGTTCCATAAATACATCTTCAGTACTCATCATATTGTGAACGTTTCCACTTATTTTTTCCTTTTCTATTAACTTATAAAGCATGTTTTATAAGATTTACTTTTTATTATTTTTAATGGTGTGTGTATCTCTGTATGTACGTGTGTGTGTGTCTCTGTGTGTATGTATGCATGTCTTTGTGTATGTGTGTCTGTTTGTATGCATGTACATGTGGGATCATGTGCCTTAGGAGCCAGAACGGAGCTTTCCCTGAAGCTGGAGTGACAGGTGGTTGTGAGCTACTGGATGTGGGTGCTGGGAACTGAACTCAGATCTCCTGAAGAAATGGTTTACTTTTTTAATTTCTAAGCCATCTCCCCAGTCCAAGAAAACAGAATTTTAAAATATAAAAGCTCTGTTTAGTCATAAGACATTAGAGAATGGAATTCCTGGGCACTACCATGAACTTGCATTGAGAAAAGTTGATAATCTTAGTGATGGGAAGCAGCACAGATCAGCTCTGTGTGTCCTCATTCGTACTGTGTTCTTAGAGCCTGTGTTATCGCAGGAGTGTGTATCAGAATCCTCCAAGTCATTGTCTTCCCCAGGGAGGAGCACGGTGGTGAGTCATCTAATACCAATGGTCAGCTCTGAAAACATGTATATACAAGTAACATGATATGAACTGAGCAGGTTGTACTTATGTAGCTAGAAATACACACATACACACACACCACCACCAACAACAACAATAACAACAACAACAACGATAACAACAATTATTTTAAAAGAGAACAACAGTCCATCAGTTTGAAGAGAGCGAAGTGGGGAGTACATTGGGTGGTTTGGAAGCAGGAAAGAGAAGGTTTAAAAAAACAAACAAAAACAACCCTTCAAGCCTGTCTGAACAGAGTGGCACACAGTTTTAACCACAGCCCTTGTCTACATAGCCAGTTCTAGGCTAGCCAGGACTACATAGTGCAACTATGTCTCAAAATCCAACAGCAATAAACAAAACCTCTCAAGGAAAGGAGGGTGAGAGGGGAAAGGGAGCAAAGAAGGAAGAAACTTGAATAGGCCAGGTGGCTAAAGATAGTCAACTTACATTCTAAAGCAGAAAACTGTTAGGTAACAGTAGGCCACTTGCCGGGGTCAGCTGTTGCTTGGTCCTTGCTCCAGGAGCATTATCTCATGGTAGATGCTTACCAGTGATAACCTGAAGCTTCGCATAAATATTCTTTGGAAAACACACAATTTTAGTCATGAAACATGAGACTGCGCCCCGTTCTAGGTCTGGGGGCCTTGCTGTTGGAAGCCCCTACTGCAGTTGAGTTGTAAGTTGCAGATCGAGTGTGTTTTTAATAATCACCCTTAATGACAACGGCGTGATTCAGTGAACAGTGGTAGCCCATGTGACAGATGAAAGTCACATGTGTGAAACAACAATCCCCCTGTCAGGAAGAGCATTCAGATTTTGTGCACAGTCTCTCAAAGTTGTGTGCCCTGCCCTAGTGCTAGTCTCATCTACAAGTTGCCTCTGGTTTGAGATAGACAAGGATAAAGTGTGGAGAGGGGAGGAGGGAGGTGATATAACATTTTCACAACATTAACTCTTGATCCATGAACATGGTAGGTTTTTTCCCATGGTGGGAGGGGGGAGGAAGATGGAGAAAATACCCCCAACCCTCATGCATACATCTCCCCAACCCTCATGCACACACCTCCCCAACCATCATGCACACATCTCCCCAACCCTCATGCACACACCTCCCCAACCCTCATGCACACATCTCCCCAACCCTCATGCACACATCTCTCCAGCCCTCTAGGCCTTGATAACTACCACTGCATTCTCTGAGGCCACTGAGGTTGTGGCATTATTCACAATAGACAAGACATAGAAATAAATGTCTATGGATAGATAGATGGATAAAGAAAAAGTGCCACATGTGCACGCAAGTGAGGGGGGGAGGGAGGGAGGGAGGGAGGGAGGGAGAGAGAGAGAGAGAGAAAAGAGAGAGAGAGAGAGAGAGAGAGAGAGAGAGAGAGAGAGAGAGAGAGAGAGAGAGAGAGAGAGAAACACATACTGTCAAAGCAACTTGAAGAGGAGTTTCTTTCTGTTTATGTTTGAAGGTCCAGTCTATCACATGTAGTGATGTGAGGCAGCTCTTCTTTCAGTAGAGAGTCTGAGCTGAGGTAAATCATGGTATTTGTCTTCCTGAGTCTGGTTTAACTCGCGTACCGTGATAATCTCCTAGCCTGTCTAGGCCCTGCAGATGTTATACTTTGAATCTTCTTGATGGCTGAATAAAACTCAGTTGTGTGTATCACCACATTTTGTTGACGGTGTCATTTGTCAGTGGGCATCTACGCAAACTCTGACTCTTGGCTACTGTGACTAGTGCCACAGTACACATGAATGGGCAGTTGTCTGGAACTGGAAGCCAAAGTAATTTCTATTCCACAAGAGACTTTTATTCATGGTGTCTTAGTATAGCAGCAAAAGTAACTAGCACAGCCCATAATATCTTGAAATATTTTCCTTATGTCTTTCTCTAGTAACTTTAAAGTTTTAGGTCTCACGTTAAGATCTTTGATTCCTTCGGAATTGGTTTTTGTAGAGTAAGAAACTGGGATCTAGCTTCGTTCACCTGCACATGGATCCAGCTCTCCTAGCACTGTTCATTAGAGGAGTCCTCTGTCCCTCAGTGCACGTTCCTGGCACTGTTGTTACAGTTCAGGTGGCTGTAGCTATGTGAGCTTACCCTCATGTCCTCTGTTCCATTCTCTTGGTCTGCATGCCTGTGGTGAGTGTCATGTTGTTCTTGATACTGTGGCTGTGCAGTGTATTTGATGTCTCCAGTCCTGTGTTCCTGCTTTAGGATTCCTTTGGCTATTTGGGGGTTGTTTGCTTCTGAAGGAATTTTAGTTTTGGGGTTTTTTTTTAGTTGTGTGTAGAATGTTGCTGATATTTTGATATGTGTTGTATTGAATCCATATCTCCCCTTTTGGTAATATAACATTTTCACAACATTAACTCTGCTGATCCATGAACATGGTAGGTTTTCTCCCTTCTAATGTCTTCTTCATAATGTAAAGATTTTGTTGTAGAAGTCTTTTACCTCCTTAATTAGCTTTATGCTTCAGATTAGATTTATTATTGTTTGTTGATATTTTGGCATGATTTATTCTCCTGATTTATTTCTTAGCAAATTCATTATTTGTATGTAGAAAATTCCTGATTTTTGTGTGTTGAATTTATATCCTGTTACTTCACTTAAATTTTTTATTGCATCTATGACTTTTCTAGTGTATGATTACATTGTTTCAAAATAGGGGTAATTTGACCTTGTCTTTTCTATTTATGTCCCTTTTTTTCACTTTCTCATGTCTTATCGAACTAAGACTTCAAACATCATACATGTTTATATGGTTTGTTACCTTTATTGATTTGTGTATGTGGAACCATCCTCACATCCCTGTAATAAAGCAACTTGATCATGGTGTGTGTGATTTTTTTTTGTTGTTTGTTTGTTTGTTTTTTAGAGACAGAGTTTATCTGTATAACAAACAGCCCTGGCTGTTCTGGAACTTGCTTTGTAGTACAGGCTGGCCTCAAACTCGCAGAGATCCACCTGCCTCTGCCACTGCCCGCTGAGTGCTGGGATCAGCATGCCCATCTGTGTGTAAGCTTTCTACTGTGTGGTTCATTTAGTTTGCAAAGATGTTATTGTGCATCCATGTTCATCAAGGAAATTGATTATTTTCTTTCATTTGTTGTATCCTTACCTTGTTTTGGTATCAGGATAAAACTATTTCCTAAAGTGAGTCTGGTGGTATTTCTTCCTTTCCTATTTTATGGGATAATTTGGTTGACATCTTTCTCTGGAAATCTGGTAGAGTCTAGCAGTGAACCTGTCTAATCTTGAGCTTTTCTCTGTTGCAGATCTTGTTTGTTTCATTCTTGCAGGTCATATATATCTAGAAATTTATGCATTTTTTCCAGATTTGTCATATTTTTATATTATAGGTT